TCAGGGCTTCCCCAGGGCAGGGGAGGGCTGGAGTGGCCGTGCCCCTTCCCCGGGGCCCCCCAGCTGTAGCAGGCACCTGTGTTCCCGCCACCCTCCCTGCGGCCCAGAGCACAGGGCTCCCCGCACAGAATGGTGGAGGCCACCTCTGGAGCCAACGATCCCGTGGGGGAGGGTCTGTCCTGTGCATTATGGGAAGTGTAGCACCATCCCTCATCTTCCGCACTCAGAGACACCAAAACTGTCTCCAGAAAGGCTCAACGTCACTTGAGGATGCAATCACGCTGGTTGGGGGCCACTGGGCCAGGTCCGAGCCTGGGCTGAAGTGCAAGGGGTAAGGGGGAGGGTAGAGAATGGGGGCCCCAGAGGAGAGAGGAGACCAGCCTGGATTCGCTTTTCTTCCCAGCTGCTGACCCCCGACAGCGTGAGGACGGGGCTCTGCCGCTGACCCCCGACAGCGTGAGGACGGGGCTCTGCCGCTGACCCCCGACAGCGTGAGGACGGGGACTGAGCTGGAAAGACTGGTGCTGGGTGAGGGCTGCCCCCTGGCCACGGTGGGCTCCAAGCTGAGGCCCCCTTCTCCTCTTAGCTCTCACTGGGGGGCCAGACAGAGCGGCCAGGGCGGGACTCACCTGTGCCCTGCTGTCCCCTGTGGGAGGCCTGGGGTGGCCCTAGTCTTTGGGACCCTTCTGTGCCAAGGGACCTTTAGCAAAACTGAGATTGCCACACTCCAGGAGGGGCTGGGGCCTGGGGACAAGGGTGTGGGACAGAGGCAGGGCCAGGGGCCAGGGGTCCTGCCCTAGCCGTGGGGAGAATGTTTACTGCTTTGGGCCGTGCACACAGCAGGCGCTTAATAAAACAGCTGTTGACTAAGTAAATGGTCTCCTGTGACCCTGTGGCCCTGCCTGTCCCAGAAAGTGGTGGGCTCTGCCTAACCCCTCAGGGTGAATTCTTTTTTTATTTTTTTTCTCACCCGAGGACATTCTTCCAATTTTTGTTCAGATAGAGTGGGAGAGAGAGAGAGAGAGAGAGAGAAATATCGACGTGAAAGGGACACATTGAGTGGCTGCCCACACGACCCAACCAGGGCTGGGGACAAACTGCAACTGAGGCACGTGCCCCCAGCAGGAACCGAACCTGGGTCTCTCTAGACCCAGGCCAACGCTCTAACTGCTGAGCCAAACCGGCCAGGGCCAGGGTGAATTCTTAAAGGGATGTCTCTTAAAGGACAGGGCCCACTGTCCTCTACTTCCTTCCTGACACCTGGAATGCAGATGTGAAAGCTGGAGCTCAAGCAGCCATATTAGACCACGAGAAGGTGCCCTGTTTCCCAAGGCCCAGAAGCTGCCGGGTCAGCCCGAGGGAGAGAAGAGCCCCGTGTGTACAGCAAGGTTATCTGCGGTTTCCGGGGTGACAGCCACCCTGCCTGTGCCTGAACTGGGACACGCCAGAACTTTGTTGAAACCATGACTTCTGGTTTACCCACAGGGCGTGTCCCAGTTACAGGAACATGGGCTGACAGCAAGGGTTTCAGAATCACCGAGCTCTCGGGGTGACACTTCTTAAAAGCCCCTTCCCTGCCAGTGCCCAGGAAACTCCTGCTCTCATGAGGACAGCCGTGTCCTCGGGAAACCCCGGGGCCTCTACCTCCCCCTCCAGCTCCTGATGTAGCCCAGGGAGGGAGAGGCTGGGCCGCCGCAGAGCAGGCAGGAGGCTCACGGAAGGAGCCAGCAATGACCCTGGCAGCCAGGCTCAGTTGTGGCATGAACACACCGGCACAGGGCGCAGGCTCACTCCGGACACGCGCATCATAGCCAGCCTGAAGAGGCAGGGTACCAAATGGGTCAGATGTGGGACAGTCCGTTCACAGGGAACAGGATTCAGCCTTAGGAAGGATGGACAGCCCTGGCCGGTTTGGCTCAGCAGTTAGAGCATCGGCCTGGGGACCAATGAGTCTTGGGTTTGATTCCAGTCAAGGGCACGTACCTCAGTTGCAGTTCATCCCCAGCCCTGGTCGGGTCCTGTGGGAGGCAGCCAGTCGATGTGTCCCTCTCACGTCCATGTTTCTCTCTCTCTCTCTGTCTCTCGCTCTCTCCCTCCGTCTTATTCTATCTGAAGATAAATAGAAAAATATCCTCTGGTGAGGATTAAAAAAAAATAGAAGTACAGACATGCTGACAGCTTCTGCGACATGGACGGACCCGTTTCAGAAGGACAGGCACTCACTGATTCCATCGATTCAAGGTCCCTGGAGGAGTCAGATCCATGGAGATCGAAGGGGATGCAGGGTGGCGGTGGGGGGGGGGTGGCGGGGGGAATGAGGAGTCAGCGTTCAGTGGGGAGCGGTTCAGTCTGGGAAGATGAGAGAGAGCTGGAGGTGACGTGGGGACAGCAGCACAGCACTGTGAATGTGCTCAGTGCCGCTCAGCTGTGAACCTACAAGAGGTTAACACTGAAAATTGTATGTTATGTAAACTTGACCACAACGAGAAGATCTATGAGTCCTGAATGATACTCAGAGAGAGAGAGTGCAAGTCCTAGGCTGTGGCCGGAGGACTCTGGTCCTGGGGACGGGGACCATTCCTTCCCCCCATCTGGTCCATGAGTAACTACGTGCCAGACGCCGCTGCTGCTTGGCCAGCAGCCGCACGGTGACGGCCGGAAGCCACAGCGCAGCTCCGGGCGGGCGACCAGGCGCCCCCGAGCCTCGCCACGGCCACTTGCATGTGCCGCAAGCTCCACAGAGAAACCAGCACCAGAGACACTTCCCTGAGCCTCGGGGCTTGAGGACCAACCCCCAGACTCAGAAACTGCCGTGAGAGGGACACCTGACACGACACCAGGAGGGCCCGCTGGCTCAGGGTGGTGCGCTGCTCCGGGGGAGGGGCCTTACAGCCTGGCGGTAGAGCGATGCCCAGACCCGGGGCTCTCCAGGGGGGAGCTGCGAGGGGCCAGGGCAGCTGGGGCATGAGACTCGGCAGAGGTGAGGGCGCCCAGGCCGGCAGGACGCACACAGGCTGGTTCTCGGGAGCTGAGCCCCAGGTCGGCCTCCGACACAGACACACGCTGTTTCCAGAAGTCACCATCGGAGAACGGCTGCATTTGCTGAAGGCAGTGGTGGTTCCGCTCTCCCGCTGTTCCCCACAGAACCTTTAGGCCCAGCGGAGGGTGGTCCCGTGGTCCCGGACACAGGCCAGGATGCCATGCCCACCTTTCTGCATCTCCTGAAATTGGCATCTGTGCATAGGTGACTGACTTGAGAGCTTGTTTGGAGGTTCTAGCAGGGGAGCGCAGCTACTCGTGTACCCTTGACCGAAAACCGGTCCTCTCCTTGGGGGGAAGGTCGTCCTCTTCGACCGAGCGTGCAGCTTCGGGAGGGACAAACATGGATCGGTTGAGGGAGGAGGGGGACACCCTCCTAGCCAGCCAGATCAGCCGAATCAACCCTGGCGATCAATGGGGTGACAGATGTCGCAGCCAGATCGCCCTCACATCCCATAGGTGACTGACTTGAAACGGCGGAGAGTTTTCCGATCGTGAACTGATGTCGACGGTGCAGACAGGATAAATGAGGACGCACTCCCCGGTTCATGGCACCTGCCCAGCGGAGGCTGTGGGCCACGGAAGCAAGGGGCCCTGCGGTGTTGTCACAGGAGGCTGCAGACCCCCTCCCCTGCCTGGAAGACACTCAGCCCTCAGGAGAAGCACCCAGACCCCTGGCCAGGTGGCTGAACTCCTGCTTCTCTCTACCCCTGACCCACAGGTGCCCCTTAGCCCTCTCTTCCCCCAAACCCTCGTCGCACACCCCTCCTGGCCTGGTCAGGAATTTGTGTATGGGCAATAGAGGTCCTGGGGGTGGGGTGGGTGCAGCTGCCACCCCAGTTCACCCCTAAGCTCTCGCCCCAGGCCCCACTGGGTCACCAAGGGGAGGACTTGGCTGACATACGGACAGTTGGATCAGTGCTCCCCCCCGTATCCCCCAGCTGGGGTGCAGGGAACCCCTGAGTGGGGGTACAGAAGGGGGCAGGTCCCAGCATAAAGTTAGATCTGCCGTGCCATCCCTAGGGATGCCTGGCTTGGCCAGCCTGACCTGGACACTGTTCCTGCTGAGGCCCAGCCTCCCTCGGACCCCGGGGCCCCTGGGGGCGGCTGCCGAGGGACAGTGGGTCCGCTCCGCTGTGCCCAGAGCCCCAGCCGCCCCCCCCCCCCCCCCGGTGCATTGGGAAGGGCTGACCTGAGCCTGAGCGGCTGGGAGGAGGGTGACACCCTTGGGCGGTGGCCCGTGGACACCGCAGCCCACTGGGCCGGCATTTCGGAAGGCTGAGCCCTCTGCTCAGATCGGCAGGTGCTCCAGGCCCAGCTTTCTAGGTTGGCAGGACAGTGCGGGGCGGGGAGCCGCCAGCTCCCCTGGCCCTGGCCGTGCAGGCGTACCACCTGCACCATCCTGCCACCGAGGCCCCAGAAACAGGTGGCCTGGCCCTGCCCCAGGGCGGAAGCAGCCAGGCCGAGCCAGGCCTCGGTGCTGGGCACTGGGGAGGGGCTACACTGCCCTCTGTCACCTGAAACCTGGACCCAGCCTGTGGCAGGCAGAGGGTGGCTAGGGGAGGCTGGGGGTCACCGACACCCCACAGAATTTTCGAGGAGACTGGGCCATGCGCTCAGATGCAGGTGTTCAGCCTCGGAGGAGGACGCTGTGTTCGGGGCCACCAGCAGAGGCACGGGTCAGGCTGGGATCATCCCTGGGGCATCAGAGGCAGAGCTAGGCACAGTCCCCGTTCCTCCAGCAGGACCCCGTGTGGACAGCGGGGCCTGCACCAGGGGTGGTGGGGTGGAGGGGGCAGCTGGACACTGGGCTTCAGGAGCCATTTTGGAGCCACTGCGTGGCCCTGGACGGCTGCCACTCCCTCCCAGCACCCATAGGTGTTCCCGAGAGGGTGGGGCTTCCTGGAGGCCGGCCCTGCGTGCGCCCACCCTGCCCTGCAGGCGCCAGATCAGGAGCCGGAGCCCACCTCTCGAGGGCCCCACCCTGTGGTCCTGCTGGTCTGTCTGTCTGGGGGGCGAGGCGGCGGCAGCTCCTTCCACCCAGCCCGGAGGAGCATCCCGCCTCGTCTCTGGCAGTTGTCAGAGAGGAAGTGGGTCTGGGCCCATTTCCTGTTGTGTGCCCCTGGGAGAGCGACAGGCCACAGTGCTGCTACCAGACGGCTGGCATCCCGATCTGGTTGGCCAGCCCCGGAGCCCCTGGGGTCCGGAGTTTCAGAGACAACGGGTTGTACCCACGTTGCTTCCTGAGAGCCCGCGGCCGGGCCGGCAGAGAGCGTGGCCGCCGGGACCGGCCTGAGAGAGCCCACGTGCTGGGGCGGAGGGGCACCCGGGGTGTCCGGCAGCAAGGTGATTTGTTGGCATAAAGGTGGGCTTGCTGGGGGCTCTTAGCCTGGAATCCTTCACCAGGGACCCTGGGGCACCAGTGCCCACAGGGCTATATCAGCAGGTGGGTTTGGGGTGTGGGGGTGACTCTTTGAGACAATCTCCTGCAAAGTTCTCCCCTGGCTGCTGGTCTAGGGCCAGAGTCGGGAGCTCGGGTACACCCTGCTGCCCCTCCTCATGCCTCTCAGGCCCTGGGGACCTTGGGGTGCCCTGTGCTTGTCGCTGATGCTCAGGGTGTTGGGAGGAGGCACAGCAGCCGGCTCCCTTTCTGCAGGGGCTGCCTGGGTAGGGGCTCGAGGAGAGTGGCCTCCGCCAGGGGACACCTCGGGGCAGGTGGGATAAGACCCGAAAGAGCAGAGCTCTGGGTGGGGCGCCGCTTCATTCGTGAGCAGGGAGATGCAAGTGTGTTTTTAAAATGCGTGTTAGAAATCTTTGAAAATGGGGAACAGAAAACGGGGCCCCACGTTGGCGGTGGCGAGGCAGAGGCCCGCCCTCCCTCTTCGCGGGCGACGTGTTGTCCGGGCTGGAAAGCTGGACGTGGGCAGAAGGACATCAGCTCCGCGTGGGCACGAGGGGAGGACGGGAAAGACCGGACGCCTTCGAAAGCAGTGAGTCAGGACAGGGCGGCAGCCCAGGAGAGTCTCACAGGCTGTGCCGGGTGGTGGCACCGCGGGCTGGACGCCCGGGGCCGCTGCTGGTGTGTCGCGTCTGAGAAGTTCGTGGTAAGGGCACACGTGTTTCAAAAGACCGCAGGGACGCGCTGCAGACAGGACACAGCGCCAAGGGCAGCGCGAGGGCCTCCTTACCCTGCTCCCCTCTGGAAATGGGCTGCGTGTCCCTGCGCTGAGCCCCCAGCGAAGCAGTGCGGGTGAGCAGGGGCGGTGGGAGCCTTGGGCAGAGGGGGTGGGCCTGGGAAGAGGTGGGGATGTTGAGGCCCAGGTGGAGCCCAGGGCCAGCGGGAGTGGGGACAGGGAGGTGGCTGGAGCCCAGGTGTGAAGGGGCTTCGGGCTGGCCCCACCCACCCACAGACTGCGGCTGTCACAGTTCCCAGTGCACATGCCCAGGCTGACGTGTCCTTTCCCCTGACCCGGGGCGGGGAGCAGACTCCCACTGAATCAGGGCCATCCCACGGGGGTCTGTCCGTCTGCCACCAAGATCCCCTCCGTGGGCCCCCGCGGGTGATGTTAGGAGACAGCGGGCCAGGGTGGCAGCGTGCTCTCTGGCGTGGGACCTTGTCCTCCCACTTAACATCCCACTGGAGAAGCCAGGAGAGGCCCCGGGCACGCGGGCTGGCAGGGTGGGGATGCCAAGAGGGGACAGTTCAGTGCCTGGGTCCCAGCTGCCGGTGCAGGAGAAAGCGAGGACCCTCTGAGGCTGGGCAGGTGGGAGGCGCAGGCCCCTCCGGAGCTTGCTCGTGTTGGGGGACAGGGAGAGACCCTCGGGGAGCATGGACCTGAGAAGAAGCAGAAAGCAGAGGGGTACAGCAGGAGCAGGAGGGTCCAGGCACGGGGTCACTATGTCAGGGAGTCCCTGGGATGAGAACTGAAGCCATGAGGACATCTCAGGGACAGGAAAGCTCTGAGGAGTGTGGCTGGGGAGTGGGCAGTGGGGCAGACGCCCCAGGCCACCACCCACAGTGAGGGGCAGGTGCTGGTGTTGGGGGTGCTGAGACCACGGCCCGCCTCGGGCTGCGCTGGCACCCGGCTGCCCCAGCCTGGGCCTCTGCTGGTTCCTGCCTGCTCCCTAACGTGTCCAGGCAGACTGTGGGGCCTGACAGTCAGGGACCTGGCCCGGGATCTGGACAGCAGAGCCCGGCATTGCACAGGCCGGGTGAGCAGCCCGCCCAGGAGCGGGGCCTGGACGTGGACAGCAGAGCCCGGCATTGCACAGGCCGGGTGAGCAGCCCGCCCAGGAGCGGGGCCTCACCCCGCTGTGCCCTCCGAGGGCAGGCTGTGACAGGGCGCCAAGGGAAGGGAGCATTTTGCAGAAGTGGTTTCTAGAGACTCCACCCTCCACCCCACCTCTCCTTGCTCCTACCTGCTTCAGGAAAAGGCAGATAGTCGGCCCTGGGTAAAGGCCTTAGCCTCCAGCCTTCAGAAGACTCCAGAGTTCAAGTGAAGGCAGCAGGTCCCAAGCCCCGCCCCCAGGAGCCCCGCCCCCTCCAGGAGCCCATTCCCAGGCAGCTCAGCCTGTCTGAGGAAGGAAACCAGGGGGTGGCTGGTGGTGCCACCATGCTTGGGGCCCAGAGTGTCTGGACTCCTGGGTGGGTAGCTCCTTCCCTGGGGGCCCGAGCCCACGCGGCCATTCTGCCCCCTCACTCCAGAATCAGCGGGGTCTCCGTTTTGGGGGGCTGTCTCTCTCGCTGGCCTATGGGTTCCATTGGGCCTCGGATCATGATCTCTTCAGAGGGCAGAGTCCGGCAGGTGGTCTTCGCCACAGCCCCCAGGGTGGCCCATGCCCCGACCTGCAGGGCCTTGACCTGAGATGGGGGTGGGGGGCAGTGCGGCAGGACTGACGAGCCCTGTGACCCTCCCGGCCGGTGGGGGGACATCAGTCTGCTAAGGTGTCACTTGGAGATGGCGTTTCTGAACTGTTTTCGCATCAGCATCTCACCTTTACATGCATTTCCAGGTCTTCCTTAGAATGTCCGGGTCTGGGCCCTGGCCGGTTTGGCTCCGCGGTTAAAGTGTCAGCCCGCACCTCGGTTGCAAAAATTCCTTGGGTGAGGATTACAAACAAAAAAGAATGTCCGAGTCTGGGATTTTCCATTTTTTGTTGTTGTTGTTCAGGTAGAGTGGGAGGGAGAGAGAGGAACAGAAAGAGAGAAACATCGATGTGAAGGGACACATCGAGTGGTTGCCACCCGCACAACCGACCAGGGCCGGGGACAAACTGCAACCGAGGTACGTGCCCTTAGCGGGAACCGAACCCGGGTCTCTCAGGACCGCAGGCCGACGCTCTAACCGCTGAGCCAAACCGGCCAGGGCTGAGTCTGGGATTTTCTGTGGTTTCAGGTAAACATCTCAGCTTCCTGTTCCCAACAGGTAGGATATGCTTGAGGAAGGGGGGCTGAGGCCAATCAGGAAGGTGGCCAGCAGGCCCGTGGGGGTGCTGGCACTAGGCAGCCGGACTGGGATTCGAGCCAGCGGTGAACTATCCTGGCCCAACCTCTGTGGCTTTGGCTGCACACTCTATGCTGCCCATAGAGCAGAGCAGGACACAGCGATCACCTGAGCATGTGTGCAGAGTGCTCCCTGTCCCCAGCCCCCAGTCCCCTCTAGCTGGTCAGCATGGAGCCTGTCTTGCGGGCACCTGTGGTTAGGGAAGGGAGCCAGGGGAAGGCTGAGGGGTCATGGATGCTCTCCTAGGGGTCTGGATTCCCTCCACAGGGGAATATGCCAGGACATTCTTTTTTTATCCTCACCTGAGAACATGTTTGCATTTATCTTCAGATGGAGAGGGAGGGAAAGAGGGAGGAAGAGAGAGAAACATCAATGTGAGAGAGACACATCGAGTGGTTGCCACCCAAACAACCCCACTGGGGCTGGGGACAAACTGCAACCGAGGTACGTGCCCTTAGCGGGAACCAAACCCGGGTCTCTCTGGTCCGCGGGCTGACGCTCTAACTGCTGAGCCAAACTGGCTAGGATGCTAGGACATTTCGGGTGACATGTGCTGTCATTTTCTTTTTTTCTTTCTTTATTTTTTATCCTTACCCAAGGACATTTCTCCATTTTTTTATTCAGATAGAGTGGGAGGGAGAGAGAGAGAGAGAGAAACATCGACGCGAAAGGGACACATCGCGTGGTTGCCACCCACACAACCCAACTAGGGCCGGGGACAAACTGCAACCGAGGTACGTGCCCTTAGCGGGAACCGAACCCGGGTCTCTCGGGACCGCAGGCCGACGCTCCAACCGCTGAGCCAAACAGGCCAGGGCTGGGCTGTCATTTTCTATACGTGTTGCCACATTGTATCAGTTCACAGTGCCATCAGCACAGTGAAAGCTGTCACTTCCTCATGCTCTCACCAGCACCAAAAACGGAAGTTTTCTTTTTGTCAACCTGAGAGGCACAAAAAGATGAGCGTTTTAAAAATCCTGTCCCCGTTTCTTTCGTTGTAAGCGGAACCTCTTTGTTTTACTTTCAGGAGCTACCTTTGTTTCTTCTGTGAATGGTCTGCTCACTGGCTTTGACACCTCCTGTTGTTGATTTGTTGGAGTTCTTTATATATTCAGGACACACTGTGGTATCCACAGAGTAAGCACAGGACTTGGCTCGGAACAGCTGCCGGCTCACCTCTTGTTCAGTGACTTTACTTGTGATGGAATCTGATTTCCCTAAAGCGATTTCAACCTACTTTTTCTCCAGGTCACTTGAAACTGTGAGGCACCTCCTCGGCAGGACTGACAAGACGTGATATGCACCGGAAAGCTCTGGTATAGCCACACCGACTGACACTGGAACCGGCAAACATACCAGGTGGGAGCCCCCGGCCTCCTCTGCCTTCAAAATTTAGGAGGAAGCCCGTGAGAATTCTTCCATAACACACTTTGTCTCAAAACAGTGATAATTACACTTAAAAAATGAGCATGCAGCCTTGGCCGGGTGGTTCAGTTGGTTGGAACATTGTCCCATACACCAAAAGGTTGTGGGTTCGATTCCTAGTCAGGGCACGTACCTAAATTGTGGGTTTTTTTTTTTTTTTTTAAATCCTCACCCGAGAATATTTTCTCCTTTTATTTTCAGACAGAGTAGGAGGGAGGGAGAGGGGGAGAGAGAGAGAGAAAGAAACATCGATATGAGAGAGACACATTGATTGGTTGCCTCCCACAGGACCCCAACCAGGGCGGGGAACCAAACCGCAAGCGATGTACATGCCCTTGACCGGAATCAAACCCACAACTCTTTGGTCTGTGGGCCGACGCTCTAACTGCTGAGCCAAACCAGCCAGGGCTAAGTAGTGGGTTTGGACACATACGGGAGGCAGCGGATCAATGTTTCTTTCTCAAATTGATGTTTCTCTCTCTCTCTCTCTTCCTCTCTCTCTAAAAATCAACAAAAGCATATCCTCAGGTAAGGATTTAAAAACAAGAGCATGCAAAAGGGCTTAAAGCTAACTCAGAAGCGACAAAGCCAGAGGCTCCACCAAGACATCCCCACAGCGCCCACTGCGTGTCCCTCTGGAGAACTAGAAAGACCAGGGCCAGGGCCAAGGGACAGTCGGAGGCTCTGGTGTCTGTTCAGGCCTCGCCTTGTGCCCATTTCCTGTGAGAGGCACAGTGTGGAGCCACAGGTGTCACGATGTCCCTCAGTCCCCTCTCAGGAAGACTCTTTGCCCAGGGGGTCGCCAAGGAGTGAGCGGGCAGCCTCTCGCCCGCACACCCAGGGCTGGTCACCAGATTGGGCAGAGAGAAGAGACTTGGCACGGGGAAGCGAAGACCGGAGACCGAGTGCCAGGCCGTGTGTGGCCCCACACAGGTGTTATGGGACTGAGCCACACTGACCCCAGGGGCCACTCGCGAGCGGGCGGTGTTGCTGGAGCAGTGGGTGGCAGGGAGGGGCCAGGTTGTTCCCAGGGAAGGGCGCTCAGGCCTGCATCTGGGTTTTGGGTTCCCTCTCGCTGCCCCTGGGGTGTGTGACTACGCCTCTGCAGTGGGGGTGACACAGTGAGCCGCAGGATGAAGGCGGTCGTGCGGGGGAGGGGCCAGGGCGGGGGTGAGCTCCAAGGAGGCCTTGCACAGCAGGGGCTGGGGGCTTAGGAGAGCCTTGCAGGGGGGCAGCTCAGGCAGCCAGGTGTCCTCTCCCTCACCTACCCCTAGACCCTGCAGAGCCTGTGCCTAGCAGAGGGCTCGGTCAGCAGGTAGAGAATAACTTTCTCTTCCATACAAACCACCCTCTTGCGCGGCACAGCCTGCCATCTCTGTCCTCGGTGCCGTCGGGCTGCAGACTGAGGGTCTTCGCGTTGCTCGGAGAACCCATTTGGAGATGAGCACTGGGTGTGTGTAGTCTGGCGCTACCGTGTTTCCTAGCGGCTCTGGAAGGTCTCTTCCACCCTTCCTCACGCTGTCTCTGCCCCGCAGGAAGCCCCGCCGCTCCAGCCAGCCTGGCCCCAGAGACGATGCCCCCCTGCGGGGCTGAGCCCCACTGCAACGTGTCGATAAAGACGCTGGAGGAAAGCAGGGTGTTCGTGGTGGCGGTGTACAGCGTCGTGTGCGCCCTGGGGCTGCCGGCCAACTGCCTGACGGCCTGGCTGACGCTGCTGCAGGCGCGGCAGGGCAGCGTGCTGGCTGTCTACCTGTTCTGCCTGGCGCTGTGTGAGCTGCTCTACGCCGGCACGCTGCCGCTGTGGGTCATCTACGTCCAGGGGCAGCACCGCTGGACCCTGGGGACGTGGGCCTGCAGGGCGACCGCCTACATCTTCTTCTGCAACCTCTACGTCAGCATCCTCTTCCTGTGCTGCATCTCCTGTGACCGCTTCGTGGCCGTGGTGTACGCGCTGGAGAGCCGTGGCCGCCGCCGCCGCAGGACCGCCGTCCTGGTCTCTGTGTCTGTCTTCCTGCTGGTCGGGCTGGCTCACTACCCGGTGTTTCAGATGGAGGAGAAGGGCACCTGCTTCGAGACAATGCCCATGGACGGCAAGCTCGCCCTGTACTACTACTTGCGGTTCGCCGTGGGGTTCGCCCTCCCGCTGTCCGTCATCGCCATCACCAATCACCGCATCTTCAGGACCATCAAGCTGAGCGAGGGCCTGAGCGCGGCCCAGAAGGCCAAGGTGAGGCACACAGCCATCGCGGTCGTGGTCATCTTCCTGGCCTGCTTTGCCCCCTACCACCTGGTGCTGCTCTTCAAAGCCACCGCCTTTACCTACTACAGAGGCGACTGTAAATCTTTGTGCAAATTCGAGGTCCGCCTGTACACGGTCTCTGTGGTCTTCCTGTGCCTGTCCACGGTGAACAGCGTGGCCGACCCCATCATCTACGTGCTGGCCACGGACCACTCGCGACAAGAAGTGTCCAGAATCCACAGGAAGTGGAAAACGTGGTTCACCAGCACGGAGGCCACTAAAGTCACATGTCTGAAGGACTCGGGGGAGATGCAGTTGCCCACGTTGCTTGCAAAGGGCTGCATGCTCCCCAGGCCTGGCCAGCCCCCCAGGTCACAGCCCAGCACGTGGGCCTCTCTGGGCGCCCTAGAGAGGCTGAGTGAGGAGTCCTATTGAGCCCAGTGTCCTGCAGGGCAGGCCGGCCAGCATGGGCGTCCAGGGCCAGCGGCGAGGCCTCTCCAGCCGCTCAGCCCACAGCCAGTGTCCATGGCACAGATTTCTCTTCCCTGGAGCCATGCCCTGCAGGAGCCTCTTCGCCTCAGGCTCCAGCCCCCCAGGCACTCCCGCTGGACCCCACCGGGCAGGTGGCAGCATGCCCAGGGTAAGGGCAACAGTACCAGGCGCAGAAGCCCAGGAGCGTGTGGCAGGCAGAAGGGCCTCCTCACCCACAGCTTGCTTGGCTATTAGCAAACAGCAGGGCTGCTGGCAGAGGCCACGTGCCTGCCTGGTGCTGCCGGCAGCCGGCACATGCCATGTCCGGGTAGGTGGCCAGGCAGCATCCACAGTGATGACTTTATTTCTGGGCTGTTCTGTGGGCACTGAGCGAATGACTGTGATGGTACATTGTGGGCTGTGCACACTGCACACCTGGGGGACGCCTGTGGGGTACACAGACCTGCGGGGCAGGGCCCAGCCCTGAGGGTCCTCGGCTGGGGCTGGCTCTGTGCTGAGCGGGTCTGACGCTGAAGGCTGCCGTGGCGCCCTCAGGGGAGCTGGGGCCGGGCGCCACCTGTCCTCTGTAGGGGCCCTGGGTGCTCATGTGGGCTGGAAGGCCCCTGGGCTGCCAGCATGGCCGAGAGATGGTTGGAGCCTTCACATTCAGGCCCCCTGGCTTCATTGTCAGAAGCTGGCCGAGGGCTGGGACAGGTCCATTCAGGAGCAAGCGTTGGCCCCCCGGCCTCCAGCCCCTCACGAAGGCACGGATGGAGCTCGGGGCCTAGCACGGGCTACTCTCTCACAGTGCTGGGGCAGAAAGCCCGCGGTTGAGGTGTTGCAGGGCTGGTTCCTTCTGGGGCTCGGGGAGCTGCGCAGGCCTCTCCCTGCTCTGGGGCTGCCGGCGCCGTGGCCGCGCCACGCCCAGCTCTGCCTCGGCCCTCACGTGGCTCCTCCTCTGTGCCTCTGTCTCCTAATAAATAATTTATTTATTTAAATTATATTTTCCAGGATGACATTTTTCAGCAAGATTATATGTTTCAAATGTACAGTTCTCAAAGTTGTCATCTGTGTACCCCAGTGTGTGTGCGCCCCCTGCCTCCCCCCAGTTAGTGGGGATCTTGTTTATCACGGTATTGCAGTCACTGACCACAAACCCTTGACCTTTTCACGGGTCTCACGTTGCTTACGGAACATTCTTACGCATGCTCATATCCTCTCCAGGTCCTGTCTCCCTCTGACATCTGTCTCCTCCCCATGGTGACCTGAGGTGGGGAGGAGGCAGCATGAGCTCCACTGCGAAGCTGGGAGGTCCCTACAGGGAGGTGGAAGCCGAGCAGAGCCTGAGAGCCCCCAGGTGGCCCCACCACCCTACACACCTGACTGTTCCCACAGGATGTCCCCGGGGGCTTCTGGGGACAGGACACCTGCATTTGTTCTCTGCCATGTCCCATCTCCCCGGACAAGACCCACACCTGAATAGGCCCCTTGGTGTTCCCCAAATCACAATGCAGGGACAGCAGTAGCGCATGGACGAGCCCTGTGCCACATGTTAACGAGCTGTCAACCCACCTAAGGGGCCTTCAACCAGACACACCAGTTTCCTACCTGCCGAGTACATCTGTGCTCAGGGCAGCCCTGCTAGGCTGCCCCCCTCCCTCCAGCCCTGCGAAGGGACCCCTGAGGGAGAGGCGGCCCAGCGCAGGGAGGTGGGCTCAGACCGGTTCGGCTGCGAATTCTGCGCTGCCGACATCTGGGTGGGTCTCAAAGGGAGGCATGACCCAGCAGGTGGAAGCCTCCTGACCCCATGGGAGAGACACTCCAGGGAGGGCCACACTGGTGGATGGCCTTGGGGCCCGGGTGGCGGACACTGGTGGGGGCCGCTCGTTCCTAGGGGGGAAGCGGCTGGCTGCCTGGTGTTCCCCAACACCGCCCGAGGATAGCTCCCCGCAGACAGGCTCTCTCATCCCTCCGTGCCTCAGTTTCCCTGCAGGGCTGGGGGGCACTCACTGAGATCAAGTGTCCTGCGCTCAAGCGGTGCGGGACACAGAGGGATGCTCTTCAGTAAGTCAGATCCCGGTTCAGCCTCCCTGGGCCTTTGCCAGAATCCCAGCGCCGCCCCACAGAGGCCGCGTGTCCCCGTGGCGGCCCCTAGAGGGCGCTGCGCGGCTCGGCGAGGCCGTGCATGTTGGGTGCAGCCGCCAGGGGGCAGCATTCCCGCCGGAGCGCTGTCCCCGCCGCTGCGCGAACGCGTGGGAGTCGGGCCTACCAGGGACGACCGACCCGCAAGCCCCCCGGGCTCCAAGCCGCGTCTGAGAAGGGGGAGAACCCTGAGCGCCCGGTGGCCCAGCCAGCCACGCTGTCGTGACAGGGATAGCAGCTAGCGCCGGGCCTCAGTGCCAACCCGCAGGACCCGCGAGGCAGGGTGGACATCAGGGCTGGGCACAGGCAGAGACGTGGGGAGGGCCCCGGAGCCACCCCTGGGTGGGAGGGGGACCAGGGGGCAGAGGTCGCCCGCCCTCCTAGGAGGCATGTAGCTCACACCTACTAACTGCCACCCGTCCCGCAGGTGCCCCGGGGTGACCCATCCGACTCCATACCCATTAGGATGGCCAGAGCCATACATTCAGACACTGAGGTAACTGGGCCACATGCTGGGGGACACGTGGGGCAGCTGCTGTGGAAACAGTCCAGGACACCCCAGGAGTCACCCCATGGCCCAGTGGTCCCACTCCTAGGATCTACGCCAGAGGAAAGTGAAGCCCACACCAACCCGCAGGCTCATGCTCACAGCAGCCCAGAAGGGGAGACCCCCAGAGGCCCACCCACCTGAATGCATCAACAGCAGGGACACCTGCAAGGTGGATGAGCCCCGAAAACGCCTGCAGCGTGAAAGATCCCGGATACCACGGGCCACGGTACTGTGATGCCACAAGGGGGAGACCTGCAGAGCAGGGACGTCTTTGGAGACTGGAGAGTGATTAGCAGTTGCCAGGGGCTGGGACTGGAGGGACGATGGTGGGTAACAGCTGAGGGCACAGGGTTCTCTCTGCCATGGGGAGAGGTTCTGGGGGGGTGGCCGCAGGTGTCTGAATGCTTTGAAAACACTGATGTGTGCGCTCCAAGGCTGAGTTTTATGGTGTGTGATTACGTCTCATTAAGTGTTTTAAAAAATAGGCCCATCAGACCCTTTCCTTCACACTGCAGCCCTGAAGCCCCTGCAGAGACAGTCCATTGTCCTCCTGGGGCATTTGGGTTGTTTTCCGTCTGAGGTCATAAGGGTGGGGTGCTAATCTGATGGGATTCGTGCTCTTATAAGAGGGAGAAAGCCCTGGCGGTGTAGGGGGTGGGGGCTCAGTTGGTTGGGCGTCCCGTGCACCCAAAGGTCGCCTGGATTTCAGGTCCAATACCCAATTGGGGCATGTACAAGAGGCGACCCATTGATGTTTCTCTCTCACATAGATTTTTCTCTCTCTAAACATATCCTCAGGTAGCCCTGGCCGGTTTGGCTCAGCAATTAGAGTGTTGGCCCGCGGACTGGGGAGTCCCGGGTTCAGTTCCTGCTAAGGGCACGTACCTCAGTTGCAGTTTGACCCTGGCCCCGGTCGGGGTCGTGTGGGTGGCAACCAATCGATGTGTCTCACATCAATGTTTCTCTCTCTCTCTGCCTCCCTCTCTTCCTCCCGCTCTATCTGAAGATAAATGCAATATATATATCTATCTCCTCCGGTGAAGATAAAAACTAAACATATCCTCCGGGTGAGGACACCTGGAGGGAGCTCGGCCGGAAGGCCCGCCCAGTGGGAAGCTCAATCCTGCAGAGCTGTGAGAAGTAAATATTCGTGGTTTTTTGCTACGGCCGGCACCCACGGCCATTGAGACAAGATTCCTTGGATTTCTACACTGAAAACCTTCTCTCTGGGAGGAATGATTTTAGTTCTCAAGTCCTACGCCTGCCACTTCTTTTCCTTGCACGGCTAGGAGGGAGCGTGGAGCCGCCACCTCGCTCCTTCCTGGTCACGGAGCCCTCACGTTCACACTTGTCCACGGGAGAGGCGTCCAAGCCTGCAGGAATTTTTTATAAGTTTATTTGAGACAAAACGGCGACAGTTGCCGAGAAGCAAAATCTCAATGCGCTGAGAAAATGCTCCGGACCGTGGCAGTTTGACTACTTACTTTATACATCAGAATCGGAGGAGACCTGAGGGGGTCACAGGATCCCACGGGTGTAGCTCAGGGGGGCGGGAGAAAGCAAGGCGGGAACTCTCTGGGATTGGATGAAAAGTAAAGTGACAGACACACTTCTTTCACGGGGGAGGGGACAGACAGTTATTTAGGGCACAGGGAGATGGTGTGTGGGGACAGGATGCACGAGGGTCCGTGGTCTCTGCGCTGGTGGGAGGGTGAGCCCCGAGGGGTCAGGACGTGGAGATCACTCTGACCTTTCAGAGGTATGTTATCTTAGACGCCAAAAGTCAACACTCAGGCTCAGGTAAGGTCAAGACGGACCTTTGTTAAGGAAACTGCCGGCCCAGGCCCTGCCTACCTCCATGACCTGCTTGCAGTTAGGGGTTTTCACGCTCAGATCATCCTGTGTGGTTACTCTGGTCTCTGACTTTGTCAGACCTGCCAAGCCGGCCTCCCCCTGAGCTTGTCGTACTTGTGTGTGGCCCTTTTTCCACCCACACGTTCTGGTGTTCGCCTGCACTCAGAAATGTTCCTTGGATGAACGCATTCAGGATGTTCTATCCTACTTAAGGCCTTTTCCACTAAGAAGTTTTTTAAAAGACAAAAACACCTCCCCTGCTTTCCACTTTTATGGTTTCATCTGTTACCGGTAAACTTAGAAGCTCCTGCGGCGACCCGGGATGTCCAGGGAGCTGCTGCTCTGAAACGCACCGCCCCCCCCCGCCCCCCTCCCCCCCGCCGCCTCCCCCTCCCCCCCGCCGCCTCCCCCTCCCCCCCGCTTCCCTTCGCCCCTTCCCCTCCCCCCCCGCTTCCCTTCGCCCCTTCCCCTCCCCCTCCTGCCTCCCCTCGCCCTGCCCCTCCCGTTCCCCACCCTCCTCCCCTCCCGTTCCGCACCCTCCTCCCCTCCCGTTTTTAACGTCCCGCCCCGCCCCTCCCCGCCCCTCCCCCCTTTCCCTCCCCGCCCCTCCCCCTTTCCCTCCCCTCCCCTCCCCGCCTCCTGCCCCTCCCCTCTCCCGGTCCCCTTCCACTCACATCCCTGCCCCGCCCTGACGCGGCCCCCGCAGGCGCACTAGGGCCGCGCGCGGAGACCTGGGAGCCGGGGGGGCGGGGCCGCGGAGAGCGCGAGCCCAACGGCCAGCGCGGCCGCGCGGGAACTCGAGCGGCAGGCCCCGCCTCTGGTTTGAACCGGAGACCCCGCCTCCGAGCCCAGCCAATCAGCGGGCGGGGTGGCCGGCGCCGGGCGATCCTTTGTGGGCGCTGAGCAGCCCCGCCCCGGCCCCGGCCCCGCCCCTCCCTCGGCGGCAGGCGGCGGCGCGGACGGCGGGCGGCCAGGTGAGCGTGGGGTCTCAGCTCCCGGTTCCTCCGCCTGGAGGGCGCGCCGGCCGCGTGGGCGGCCCTCGCCGCCCGGGGGGATGCGAGGCCCGCGGGCGGCGCGTCTGCCCGGGGTCTGGGGCGGCGGGGAGGCAACACGGGGGGCCGGCCTGCGGTTCTGGGGTGGCGGGGCGGCCCGCGGGGCTGGGAGCCCAGGCGGCGGGCGCTCGGCGCCGGGACGCGACCTTGCTGGCCGTCGTCCCCGCCGCCGAGTGGGCAGCCGCCTGCGAGTCCCCGTGGCGCCGCCGCGGCCTCCTCGCGCTCCGGCGCCGCTTTAACCCGCGCGCAGCGCCTCCTGCGCGGTGGAACCGAACCGGGCTCAGCGTGCGGAGGGGCGCCCGCCGTGGGCTGACGGCCTCCGTGGGCTGACGGCCTCCGTGGGGAAGCCCCTCCCGTCTTCTTCCCCGTGACTGGAGACGGTCGGGCAGGCTGCCCCTGGTCGGCCGGGGATCCCCGTGAAGGCCCGGGGGTTCGGGGACTGGTCGCCCCGACACAGATTTACTGCCCGACGAGCGCGCCTGTGGCCGCCCCTCCTCCCGCCCCCGCCCGCCGGGTCGCCCACCCGCGCTGCACAGGCCCGTCCGCCCTTCCGCACGCCCACGGGGGTGTACCCGCGGCGCCGGATTTCCCTCCTGTCGCGCCCGGCAGGAGTGGGGGTGTCGTTGGCAGGGGAGCGCCTGTTTCACCCTGGGCCCTCGCTCGCGAAGCGCGGTTTGGCCCGCCTGGGGCACTTCCGGAGCCCGGCCGGCAGGACAGCCTCCGGCAGCGCCGCTTGGGCCCTCCCCTGTCCTCGGTGTCCACTGCTCCGCAGAGGTTTCCCGGCTGCCAAACCGCAGCAGGCCCGGCTGCCCTCTCTCAGCTGGTGGGGGCCCTGCGCAGACGTGGGGCCTCGGTGGTCTGCAGCCGGTGCTCGGCCCGTGGAGACTGACCCGGCGGGGTGGGAGTAGAGACCGGACAGCCCCAGACCCCGCTGGCCGGCTGTGGGCTCGGGGTCCTGCCCCCGCGCCGCAGTCAGCCTGCGAGGCAGGCACCGGGCAGCCGCCGGGACTCGGAAAAGTACCAGGAACTTGTTTCCACAGCTCCGGGGCCAGTGTAGCTCTACCTTTTCAAAAGCTCATTGTCCCGAAAATAGGATTACGGGGAAGGGAGTGCCCCAGGTAACAGTTTGCTGGGAGAGCTGTGGTCCCAGCAGAGGGCTTTCCAGCTGCGTTTCCTCTGCCCTCGGGACGCAGAGCCCAGTTCACTGTTCTTTCAAAAGGAGCCAAGAAAAATCCAGGAAGGAGCAGGGAGCCCCTTACACGGGAGGGCGGGGGTGTCTGCTGAGTTAAGCTTGGTGAGAAAAGTTGGATTGAAAAATGTCCAGGATCCTTTGAGGAAGGTCATCAGGCCCTCTCGGGGCTACCCTTTTCCCAATCCAGACTGCCATTTCTTTACAACTTCATTTCTTACCCCCACCCCCAGAAAAAAAAATACTAAGTTTAATGTCTTATCAACTTTCTACAAACAGCTGCTCTGTGTTCAAGTTTTGCCATGTTTTATAATTAAAGTTGAAACTCGGGATAAATGTCTGCTCTGACCTTTGCAGGTTTAGCTTGGAGAGAGGACTGGAGTTCCCCCAGCTTGCTTTTGGCACATTTTCCAGGCAAAGCTTGTGTGTTTCATTCCAGGTGACAGAGTGCCTGAAATTCACTTTGCAACAACACACAGTAGTGGGTTGTTTGAGCCCTTCCCCTGTTCCTCCGTGTTCACCCGTGTCAAGACGTCACCGGGCTGGCTCCGTCTCCCTGTTTCTCTGTGATGAGGTATTTCACAGGAGATCTGGTTGTGAGTGTGTCAATTTGTCTTCAAAACCTGAGGCTTGTGGGGGTGCCTGGCAATGGCCGAAGGTCACGGTGATGGGTCAGGTCCGAGCTGATCCTGTCCCAGCCCTCCTGCTCAGAATCGGGGGATCTGGGTTCCACCAGCCTCACTGCAGGCTGGCCACACTGTGAGGTTGGGGCTGTGGGCCTGTGTCCCCTCCACATTGGGGTGCTCTGGTGGACCCACACTGTGCCCTCGTGGCTCTGTCCCCAGTGTGAACTCAGTCTGGCAGTCCCTCCTTTTTCTGTCTGGTCAGAGCTGGTCTGGAGGAGGCCTGAGGGCAGTGCACGTTGACCTGGAGGGTTTCCAGTGGGATCTGGGCATTTAACTAGATACTTGGCAAGAACTGGCTGATCTTGGAGATAATGGAGGTGGCTAATACCTAACATTGTGTTGTTCATAACTTAACAGTGAGTCAGGCTCTGCAGTTAGGATGGTCTGGAGCATGACCCTCATATCCCCCTATTGGACAGAGTAAGATCCAATCTCTCGGGTGAGGGCTTTGCAGAGAGCTGGGCTGCGCCAGGCCCACCTCTTCCCCAGCACCTCTGGGCTCAGCCTGACCCCTGTACGGAACACGAGCTCGGGGTGGTGTCATGCGCTCCTCAGCTTGGACAGGCTGCCTTTGAGAAACCAGGGTGCTGGCACTTTCTTGCTGAACAACAGAAATAAAATAGTTGCTGAAGATTTGGAACGTGTGGCAGGAGTGACTCAGAATGACTGGACACGCCTTTGTCTGGCCCGCCGGCCGGCAGAGATTGGAGCTCCGCTGTGCGCAGTGGGGCCGTCTGAATGGTTTCAGACCTAAGTGGATGGCATGCTCCGCTCGTGTCCTTGTTTACCTGTGTTGGTTATCATCAGGTGTAATTTAGGACTGAACTGAACAGCACCAGTGCACAGCTCCCTGCGTGGACGAGTGCTGCACTGGGGGCCGTGTGTTCTGGGAGCGGGCGACACCCGGCGGGCCAGCTCGGCAGTCCCTTCTGTCTCACAGCTTCCGGCAGCCTGCCTGTTGTGCAGGCCGTAAAGATAGGGCTCTGTGGTACCTACGTTTTGTTCTTGCTTTTTCATCACATTGCCGGTGTCGTGGTGGTGGTGGTGGTGGCTGAGTCATGTTCCATTGCTAAATACAGCACCGTTTACATCTGGTGGGAAATAGGCCGATGGCAGAGGCCCGTGGAACACGGTCGGGTTGTGGGTTGTGGGTTGTGGGAGTCGGCGAGGGGAGTGCGGGGGAGGGGGGGGAGGCCGGGAGGCCGGGGGAGCGGTACCTGTGGTGCTGGGATAATCCTAAGGGCAGGTCAGTGCAGAGAACCTGGTGGAGGTGAGTGGTCTGCCTTCCCAGAGAGCAGCTTGACCGTGTTCCTCTCTTTGTCCTGGTAGATGCTCCAAGGAATCCAGTGCTGGGATTGTCAGTGCAGCCCGAGTCAGAACCCATGTCACTGTGGCGAGGTGATGCAGCCCGTGTCAGACTGTTTCACTATAAGTGGGGAGCAGTGTGAGTGCCTACGTGAGTCATTAGGACAGTGTTCGCGTGTTGGGATATGTGCTCGGCTGTCAGGAGCGATCATGAACTTGTACCTGACAGGCAGTGTGACCGAGAGGAGAGCAGGACCTATGGTGGGCTCAGCCCCACAGGCAAGAGTGTGCAGAGAGAGAACGGGGTGGGGGACAGGGTTAGGGTCCCGTTTGGACAGGGGTGTTGTCCTGTACTGTCTGATCCTCTTCCCTTGGTCACAGTGAGGGCTGCTTATTGGGAGCTGCAGAGGTCCCCACCACCCGATTGGCAGAGATCCAAGCAGGGGAGGGGGAGCACTTCCCAGTGGGCAAAGGGGCTCAGCCCCCATGGAGGCAGGGGTGGGGAGTTGGGGAAGCAGGTGGCCCGTGTGATTGCTTGGGGACATTGGATTTCTCTGGTGGGTCCTAGGCTGGCAGTGGGGACAAGGTATGGAAGCCGTTGCTGGGTGATCAAGCCTCCTTGCTGTTGTAGGGAGGTGGTTGGCTTCCAGGCTATTCCTCATGATGGAGGTTTATGACTTCCTGCAGCCTGACTGCATTGGGCTTTCCAAGGACCCTCAGGGTGCTGGGTGCTCAGTGTAGCTTCCTCCACGGTTAGAGTATAAGTTGAGTCTCTGCCGCCCCACCAGCCCCTTCTGACATCCTGACCTCCCGAGACCCTCACTTCTGTTGGGGAGCAAGGGACTAATTATGCTATTCCAGCAAGTTTGGTTTGGACCCTAAGTTAAATGTCTTCAGGCAGAGTTGGAATTTTGGATTTTGTTGAAAATACTACTAAAAGCCAGATGCGAAGTGACTTACCACAGAAAAACTCTTGAGACTTAATCTTTGCCCTCAACACACAGTGACTTTTTATAGTTGGACCTAGCATTATCTTCTCAGTCTGCAGGGCGGGCAAAAGTGGGTTTACAGTTGTTCGCATGGAAAATAAGACAATTAATAAATAACAACACAGGAACAAACCTGCACGCACCAACCACTGTAAGCCTACTTTTGCCCGCCCTGTACTTAGTGTTAAGCTAGTGATTTCTGAACAAGTGCTGGGGTGGGCTGGGAAAGGTCATTTGCTGGGAAGACAGAAAACTTGAATCTTTATTACCAGAATTGGAGTATTATTTTTCATGTGTTTTGGTGGTAAACTCTTTCATTCATGTGCAAATAGTCCTTAAGCTGGTGTGTGGGGCTGGGAGAACAGCTTGCTGTTCTGGGGGAATTGGTCCTGTAGGGGAAGAAGCTGTGGTCACTCAGTGTTAAAAATTTTTTACTTCAAAATAATTATTGATCCATGTTGCGAAGTCACCGTTCCCCTGGGGGCCACAGATGTGGGTCAGATGGTACGTGCGCGTGTGCACGCTTGTGGTTCTGTGCACTTAGCACATGCATAGCTTGTGGGTCCCCCACAGCCCTGTGCTGGCTGTGCCCACCCTGTCTCCCTCTGGCGTTCAGGACATCACAGCGACAGGGTCAGTGCCCAGGCGTTCTCTGAGACTGGCTTTCTCATGTAGCATTTCCCTCGAGGCCCATGCGGGCACCTGGGTGTCAGCGGCCACTCTCCACTGCTGGGGGTGGGGTGGTGCGTGGTGTGGGCTTGTTCCCAGGTTCGCCTATGAGTGCAGCTGATGTGAACATACTTGCACATTGTGTGAACGTTGGTTTTCATTCCTCACGGATAAATGCCCAAGGTTGCTTAATTTTTTTGTTGTTGTTTGTTTTTGTTTTGGTACGTGCCCCTAGCGGGAACCGAACCTGGGACTCTGGTCCGCAGGCTGATGCTCCAACCGCTGAGCCAAACCGGCCAGGGTGCTTAATTTTTTACAATGTTAAATACACGGGAGGTGAGATCTATGATGTTGAAATTCAGGAGACGGGCCTTTTTCTGTCTGAGGGTAGGGCTGGCACTCAGGCTTTGAGAGGGGCTCCTGAGGGAGGTGGGGAGGGCCACAGCCAGTTCTCCCTTCACTGCAGACCCCCATGCTCAGGGCTGCCCCACTCCACCCCAAGTACGCCCCCTCCAGCACCATCATGGAGCCACAGGATTCTTTTTTTTTTTATCTTCACCCGAGGACATTTTTCCATTTTTTGTTCAGATAGAGTGGGAGGGAGAGAGAGAGAGAAACATCGATGTTGAAAGGGACACATCGAGTGGCTGCCACCCGCACAACCCAACCAGGGCTGGGGACAAACTGCAACTGAGGTACGTACCCTTAGCGGGAACCGAACCTGGGTCTCTCTGGACTGCAGGCTGACGCTCTAACCACTGAGAAAACCGGCCAGGGCAGGTTTTTTTTTTTTTTTAAAGGAAATTCAGGTGGTGCTCTGTGGTTAGAGTGTAGGCCGGCCACTGAAGGGTCCATGTTTCGATACCTGGTCAAGGGCTTATACCCCGGTTGCAGATTCAATTCCCAGTGCCGGATCAGGGTTGTATGGGAGGCAGCCAGTCAATGTGTCTCTCTCCCTCCCTCCCACTCTATCTAAAAGATCAATGGAGCCCTGGCTGGTTTGGTTGAGGGGTTGGAGCGTTGGCCTGTGGTCCATAGAGACCCAGGTTCGGTTCCTGCTGTGGGCACGTGACTCTGTTGCAGTTTGTCCCCCGCCTTGGTTGGTCGTGCGGGTGGCAGCCACTCAATGTGTCCTTTTTGCATCGATGTTTCTTTCTCTCTCTCTCTTCCTCGCTCTTCCTCCCACTCTATCTGAACAAAAAATGGGAAAATGTCCTCCGGTGCGGATTAAAAAAAAAATCAATGGAAAATATCCTTGGGAGAGAATTTTTTAAAAAAAGGAAATCCAATAATTTGCATATTAAAAAGATTCTAATCTGCTTATGAATAACTCAAATGAATTATTTGAAGTTTAGTACATGAAGAAGTTGAGAGGAGGAGACTTAAGGCAGCATGGTGTGACTCTTCTAGGAAGGGGAGCCCGGGTGCGAGGCGCCAGTATCCGTCAGCTGAGAGTCGCTGGGGGACAGGTTCTCCCCAGTGCTCCCCGCCGGCGGTGCAACCATGGGCACCAGGACCTGGAGCTGCCTGGTAGCCAGGGGACCGGGGAGGACCTGCCCAACAGCATTCCAGGCCCCTGTGGCCCTGTACACTTGTGTCTAGCAGAGCATTAGGACCGACAGGCAGAGGAAACCGGCAGAGCCCCTGCTCACCTGGAAGGGGAACGCATCCAAGGACTTGGGGTCTGCACATGGGACTCGGGACACGTGCCAGTGTCTCCTGCCCTGCAGGTTTCTCTGTGCAACTCCCCACAGAGCTATGTGCAGGTGGGGGTGGGGCGGCCTGCTGACACGCAGCACCAGCTTCTGCACCGCCTGGGTTTGTCAGAGGAGCCTGGGTTTGTCAGAGGACGACGGTGCCATACCTGTCCCCGCCCACTGCTGTCGCTTGGCTTCTCAGGCGCCCCTCTGGCACTAGCCCTGGGGTTGTGCTGGAGGGTTCCAGCTCAGCTCCTTACAACGCATTCCTCCCACTTTTAGTCCATTTGTCTTTGCCAGTGGAGAAGGTTGTGCGGGTTTAGAGGTGGGTTTAGAGGTGTGTGGTCTGTACCCACCTTCACAGCTCCCGAGGGGCTGAGTGTGAATTAAAGACCACCCAGGAAGCCGCGTGCCCACCTCTCCCAGGGCCCTAGGGACAGTGGGAGGCGCTCCAAAATGTGCTAAAGGGCGTCTCCTTGGTTTCCACAGGACATGATGTTTGCCCGAGGGTTAAAGAGAAAGTGCTCTGATGGCGAGGAGATTGCTGTTGCCGAGGGCGCCCTGGCCACGCCCTCCTACAGCCTGCAGCGGCAGTCGCTCCTGGACATGTCCCTAGTCAAGCTGCAGCTGTGCCACATGCTGGTTGAGCCCAACCTCTGCCGCTCGGTCCTCATAGCCAACACGGTCCGGCAGATTCAAGAAGAGATGACCCAGGATGGGACTTGGCGGGTGCCTGTGCCCCAGACTGCCGGGCGGGGGCCGCTGGACCGCCTGGTCTCCACCGACATCCTGTGTCGAGCTGCCTGGGAGCAGCAAGGGGAGCACCCTGCTCTGGACTCGGCCAGTGGCCCCGCGCCAGACCTGCTGTCCGAACTGTCCATGGCCCCGTGTGCACAGGCTCCGAGTGGCGTGCAGAGCTGCGTATGGGGAGCGCACAGCCCCCGAGAAAACAAAGGGAGCTTTCAGAAGTCGCTGGATCAGATATTCGAAACACTGGAGAGTAAGGCTCCCAGCTCGGTGGAAGGGCTGTTTGCGGACGTGGACAGTCCCTACTACGACCTGGATGCCGTGCTGACGGGCATGGTGCGCGGCAAGTCGGTCTCCAGCGACGGGTTTGAGGCCTTGGCCTCCGCGGGCGCCCCGTCCCCCAGTTCCAGCTGTAAGCGGGACCTGGGCGAGCTGGACCACGTGGTGGAGATCCTGGTGGAGACCTGAGCCAGCTGTGTCCTTAACTGTCAGGACACAGACACCCCGGAGCACCATCGGACCATGGGGTTAGCCCGGCTTTGTCGTGATTACCAGGAAGTCTCGGAACCGTGCCCAGTCTCTCCGCTGCTCCCCACTTCACCCTCCCTCACCCAGGGGCTGGGCAGGTTCCTGCAGGCTGGTCACCCCAGGCCTGCCTCGGATGCCAGCAGCCTGGGCCCTGTCCACTCTGAGCCCCACACAGCTCCTGGAAGACGTGGGCCACCAGCTGCATCAGCCTTGTTTAACTTTAGATAGGTGAATTTTTAAAAATTAAGTTTTATATGTTTTGGGCAATATTTTGGCTTAAGATATATTTTGTAAACGTTTTATACTTTTATCTCCTTAGAGTTTTTCAGCTATTTTCTTAAAAGTATATTTTTTCTATAAACATCCTCTGCTGCTAATTAGAAACTTTTATAACCTGAACACTTGCAGTTGGTGTGTTTGATTTTTAAGGTTTGTTCTTACGGTTGTTGCTCTGCGGGTCAGCGCTCATCGGCTTCTCGCTGTGAACTTACATGGAGCGTCTCCACGTGCTGTCACGTTAGAGGCTACGAAGGTGACGCCGTGTTCAGATTTGCTGAGGGAGCCTGGCCAGCCTTCGTTCTCTGTTAGAATGAAGTGTAGATTTTATAGGGTTTAATTTATGGCTATTTATATATAAATGTTGCTGGGGCGAAGGTCCGATACCTGTCTGGCCCTAGTGGATCTTTGGACACCTAAGGGGTCTCTGGTGCCCCCTGAGGACCCAGCTCTAGGCCCCGCACGCCCCTGAGGGGCCTGGCTGCTGGGCCGGCCTGGAGGTGAGTGCACATGTGCTTGTTCCTGGGCCCTGCCCACCTGGTGCTGGGACCACTGTTAAGATTAAGTCTAAAACTGAAGAAATGTGGGCACGTGTCATTCATGGCCCCTCGATCTTGAGGGTAATTGGTGGTGGGGGTGGTGGGCGGTGCCTGCCCCCGTGTGACCCTGCGTGGGCACCAGACTGCCTGCACCTTCTCATCTTCTCCAGCCTAGGAGGAGACTCTCCCCACACGGTTCCCAATTCTCATGCTTTTCTTCCTTCCCAACCCTTAGCCAGAAAGGTTTCTTTTTTTTTTTTTATCCTCACCCGAGGACATTTTTCCATTTATTCACATAGAGCGGGAGGGAGAGAGAGAGAGAGAGAAATATCAATGTGAAAGAGACACATCGAGTGGCTGCCACCTGCACAACCCAACCAGGGCCAGGGACAAACTACAATCGAAGTACATGCCCTTAGCAGGAACCGAACCTTGGTCTGTCTGGACCGCAGGCCGACGCTCTAACCATTGAGCCAAACTGGCCAGGGCCAGAAAGGTTTCTTTTTCTTTTTTTTTTTTTTTAATCCTCACCCGAGGACATTTTTCCATTTTTGTACAGATAGAGTGGGAGGGAGAGAGAAAGAGAGAGAGAGGGAAACATCGATGTGAAAGGGACGCATCGAGTGGCTGCCACCCGCACGACTGACCAGGGCCGGGGACAAACTGCAACCGAGGTACGTGCCCTTAGCAGGAACCGAACCCGGGTCTCTCGGGACCGCAGGTGGACGCTCTAACCGCTGAGCCAAACCGGCCAGGGCCAGAAAGGTTTCTTTTCCCTGGGGCATGTGACCATTCTTTAAGGTCAGTGATGTACGCTCACTTTATTAAAAATCATTCAACACAATGGGGGAGTGCCGAGTGTCTTCTGTCACTCTGAGTGGACCTTCCTCCTGGTGCAGGTCAGGTGCCTCGTGGAGATGGGGAAGGAGTCCGCCTGGACGTGCTAAGTGGGCAAAGGGGCCACCTGGGGGCTCGAGGAGGGCACCCCTGGAGTTGGCCCCTGAAAGGAGCCGGCACAGGCTGGATGGTGAGGCCTGGCAGGGCTGGGAAGTGACCAGGGGGCAGCTGGGCGAGTGTGGCCCTCAGCAACCACGATTGCTTCCTTCAGATTTTGAAATTCAACCTTTTGGTGGATAATAATTTGAAGTGTATGTGTCTTAGAAGCAATAAAATCAGTATTTTTCTTTTTTTTCAATTTTTTTCCTTTATTGATATTTTTTAGAGAGAAGGCAGAGGGAGAGAGAGCTAGAAACATCGATGAGAGAGAACATCAACTGGCTGCCTCCTGCCTGTCCCCCCTGGGGATTTGCCCATAACCTGGCATGTGCTGGCGACCTCTTGGTGCATGGGTTGACACTCAGCCACTGAGCCACACTGGCTGGGCAGTATTTTCTGTCTTACAGCATTTCTATCTTTTAAAAATACTCAGTTTTGAAGTAGCTGAGGAGTCTCTCTTGCCAGCCTTCAAAGTACAAAATGTCCAGAGAATGGACAGGGCGGGCTAGGCAGGCCTGTGGGCCAGGGGGAGGTTACTATTCACTGAAAGAGATGCTTGAGGGGCCAGAGTTCAGATTTGGACACTGGGGAGCTGGCTTACAGTGAGGGGGCAGGGAGGTGCTATGGGGCCACACAAAGTGTGGCCACCCCAGTTTGAATCGGGCAGGCAGGACGCAGTGGGTCCCCACGGCAGTGTGGAGTGGTGTAGAGCATCCTACCTCCTGGAGACTCCCACCTCCTGGCTAAAAATGAAACCAGCCGTCAGCACCAAATGTCTGTTACCCTAACAGCCCCAGACCACATGCAGCCTGGTAGGGTGGCCCACGGTGCCGGGGGCAGGTGGCACTGCCAGTTACTGTGGTCCCTGTAGCCACTGTTTGGGTTTGACACCTGAGTAAAAGGTGTTAGTGTCTGAGGCTGTCCCCCCACTGGGGTCTCCTGGCCTCAAGTTTGGCCTTGGGACAGTGATGGCTGGGGTCACTGTGCTGTGCTGGGTGCCCCACCAGCCTCAGAGCCCAGTCCCCACAGAGCAGATGGATCCGCAAGAACACGGCTTATCTAGGCAGCTGTATTTAATGAAATCGTATGAAAGTCAGTCCCGACCGGTGGCGCTGTCAGAAGGGGTTTCTTTCCTCAGCTGATGACCAGGGAAAGCTCACCCTCTGGGCGTGAGTGGCCACTGGGTGGGGACTCGGGTGCCCGGGCAGTGCTGCGCAGGGAGCCAGGCCTGGAGTTCCTCGGGGCACCCCCAGGGGCTGGCAGCACCTACTCAGAGGGATCCTGGTGCCACCTTCATGTGAGGCTGGGGCAGCTCCTGGGGTCCCTGGTGCCCCTTCTGGGTGAGGACTGGCTCTGCGAAGGATCCCCCATCTAAACTGACCCAGTAGGCGCCGGACAGGTCTACCGCAGGGACCCCGGGAAACTCACCTGGGATTGGGAAACCCCCACACAAAAGAGCTCTAGTCTCCACCACCAGCCACGGCAAGGAGGTAAAATTCCCCATGGAGACACTGCTCCTGTTCAGCAAATGTCTCTGAAACAGTCACTTCCAGGTTGTGTGGACCGAAAACCTGCCTCCGTGGCATTGGGCGCACGGCCCGTTGCTGGGGGAGGGGTCGCCTGCTGCCCAGTGCTCCTGAGAGCTGGCAAGAGACAGGACCCTCAGGTTCGAGCACACGTGACCGGAAGTGCCACGGCTGGTCGCCTCCCTCCCCCGCTCTCGTGCCCTCAGCGCCAAGTCCACTGGCACTTCTGCGTTGTCTGAACCACCCCGCAGCCAGACCACAGAGGTGCCAGGACACAGTGTGCAGTTTGTGATGTCTCCCGGAGCAGACGGGACACCGGCCAGAGGCGTGCTGGGCCTCCTCGTCCCACGTGACCAGGACCTGGCCAGTGGCCCCGGATGGTGTGCCGCACGGCCATCGCCCCACAGCAGCTGTGGACACGTGTCTTGTTGCTCTAAGAGGGCCTCTGCCCTGCACCTTGAGACGTTTCCGGTTTCCACCTCCCCTCCTGGGTGTTCCCTACAGCAGACGGGCACAGCATGCTGGGCACCCGCAGAGGGCCCTGCGGCACCTGGCTCCTGCGGGCTGGGCAGCACCGGTTCACACCAACTTGCTCCTGCTGAGCCCTGTGTGCGCCTGCCCTGCCCCTCCCCTCCCACCAGTGCAGACCCCTGTGGTGCATCCACCACCCTGGTGTACAGAGTGAACCCCAACTGTGCTCCGGGGTCCCAGCAACATGTGCTCCTGGAAGGGAGAAGGGCGCTCCCAGGGCAGCCGATGGCCAGCCATGGTGCTCATCCTCTTAACACCTGTGTGGGGGTGAGCAGGGGACCCCTGGTTTCTCTAGGTCCCTCTGCTGCCCATGCTCCCTGTGGAGCCCCCTGTCGCGGGACAGTGCGGCTCCGGGAACTTCAGACCATAGAGAAAAGCTGGGGAGCAGGCCTGCAGCCCCCTGCCCTGCCTGCCCGGCAGCCCTCCCGGTCTGGTCGGCAGATGACCTGCGTGTACCACGGGGGCGGCGGTGCTCTGCCGGGACCGGAGTGGAACCGCACATCTCAGTACAGCCGGTCAAACGCAGACATCCAGGCGGCCAGCGGGGCGGCTCACCGCCGTCTGGATCAGGGCTCTGCAGCGGGCAGACGGAAGCCGTGCACCCCGACTTCAGGCGCTTTGAGCTCGGAATCTTCCAAAATGTGACCCCGGTTCCTGGACAGGTTCTGAGGACACAAAGCACCGTCCACGAGGCAGGAGGGGGGCTTCCACCTGGCCTCCGGCACCTGCCGGGGAAGGGCCGCCCACTCTCTTTTTAAGTGTTTGTTATACTGGGGGTAGAGGGAGATTTTTTAATTGGGTTTTAGAGAGAGAGAGAGGACAGGAGAGAGGAGGAGAGAGAAACATCGATGTGTTGTTCCACCTTTTTTTTTTTAATCCTCACCCGAGGACATTTTTTTTTTTTGTTGTTCAGGTAGAGCGGGAGGGAGAGAGAGGAACAGAGAGAGAGAAACATCGATGTGAAAGGGACACATCGAGTGGCTGCCACCCGCACGACCGACCAGGGCTGGGGACAAACTGCAACCGAGGTACGCGCCCTTAGCGGGAACCGAACCCGGGTCTCTCAGGACCACAGGCCGACGCTCTAACCGCTGAGCCAAACCGGCCAGGGCTGTTGTTCCACCTTTTGATGCAGTCATTGGTTGCCTGTATGTGCTCTGACTAGAATCGAACCCACAACCTTGGTGTATCAGGACAATACTCTAACCAACTGAGCTACCCCGCCAGGGCCAAGGGCAGCCTGCTCTCGACTCAGAGAATGCTTGGGCTGTGTCGCCCCGCTGTGCGGTCCTCTCCCTGCAGGACTTCGGGGCTGGCACCTCTCACCGCTGCCAGGCCAGTGTCCTACCTCAGCCTCCTGTCAGGCCACCCCCCACCCCCGGCCCCCGCCGCTTTCCTGGCACCGAACGCAGCCAGGTGGCTCTTGTCAGGGCTCTCTGGCTCCTTCCAGCCCAGGCTCAGCCAATATGGCAACCATTCCTGTGCCCGGGCTTCCCCAGGCTGCCTGCCCCTTGTGTTTCCCATGTGTGGG